CTGCACTAAATCTTTTGCAAATTATTTTAGTAATTTGTTAGATAAGAAAATATTTGTAGGATGAATTTGTTAGATTTACGACTTAGTAAATGATACATTTTTCTAATATTCATATAATAGTTGACAAACCATAAGCCATTGGTAAGAAAGGTAAATAAAAGGTGTAAACAATCTTGTCAGAGATAAGGAAGTTGGTAATTCAGAAAGAATTCTAATATAAAACGGTAACTAAACAAGAGTTTGTAACATAATTGTACAAAAGTTGATAATCATTCTAATTGAGGTTGGTAATTTCCAAAAAAAATCGGTAAGTAAGACAAATGAAAGTGGCACCTCAATAGAAAAGTTGGTAAGTTAAAAATAATATAAATATTGGAAATCAATTCAAATGAGAGTTAGTGATCAAACAAAATTCAAATGAGAGCTGATGACCCAAAATTAGGGGAAAAGTACCAAAAAAATTATAAACCTATTGCATTTGTACCAATTCAGTCCTAAACCTTTCAATTGAACCAATTTAGTCCTAAATCTTTTCACATTGATACCAATTCAGTCCATCCAGCCAATTTAGGCCGGAAATCACTGACGTGGACACCAGCGGTCCTATGTGGCACCGCTGGCGCTGACATGACCAAATTTTATAATTTTTTAATAATTTTTTCGAATTTTTTCAATGTTTTTTTCTTTTTTCTCTTTTTTTTCCTTTCCGATAACTGGGTTGGCTAGCGAGGTCATTGGTCGACCATCCCGGCCATATGCTGGTTTGGGCGAGGGCCACCATGCCCTCGCCGGCCACAGGCGAGGGCCGCCGTGCCCTCCCCAGCCACGAGCGAGGCCCGCCACGCACTCACCGGCCACGGACGAGGGCATCGGGCCCTCACCCAGATCCAAGCGAGGGCAGCGAAGCCCTCTCTCTCATGGTGGGCGAGGGCCGTGATGCCCTCGCCTGGTCTGGGCGAGGGCGGCAAAGCCCTCGCTCGTGGCGGGCGAGGGCGTCGGGCCCGCGGGAGTCGGCGCGGAGTCGGGCTGTGCGAGGGCGCAGCGGCCCTCGCGTAGACCAGCATGTAGCTGGCGATGGTCAGCTAGCAACTTCGCCGACCCACCAGTTCTAGGAAAAGAAACATTAAAAAAATATGAAAAATTTATTAAAAATTATAAAATTTGTTCACGTCAGTGCCAGCCCCACGTAGGACCGCCGGCATTCGCGTCAGCGATTTCTGACCTAAATTGGCCAGATGGACTGAATTGATACCAATGCAATAGGTTTATGACTTTTTTGGTACTTTTCATCCAAAATTAGTTGATAACTTATTTGGAGAAAAGTTGGTAAGTCGTTCAAATAAATGTTGGCAATGTTGTATAATAGTCAATAAATTTAAAGCATCGCTAAGAAAGATTAATAAAACTATGTAATAGATTAGAGAAAAAAAATTTGGTCTAAGATAAGAGAACTTGGTAACACGAAAATCAGCTTATCGACTATTAACTCAAATAAGATTTGGTAATGCAAAATTAGTTGGTAATTTAATGAGAGAAAATTTGGTAATCACTCTAATTAAGGTTGGTAATTTCTAACTGGTTGGTAAGTAAGACAAATAAAAGTTGAAAACTCCATAGAAAAGTTGGCAAATTTACAAAAAAAAAGAACATAAACAAATATTGTGAGCAACTCAATGAGAGTTGGTAATCTAATGAAAAGTCAATAAATCACATGGATAAAAGTTGGTAAATTCATATAAGAGCTGATAAGTTTAAGGCATTTGTAAGAAAGACAACAAAAGTTGGTAAATAAAAAAACTAAATAAATATTGGTAAGTAACTCAAATGAGAGTTGATTGGAGTCAGCATGATTTCCGGGTAGAACTTGGAATCGGAGAATCGGACCGGTGAGAACTTGTCCGTTTCGAGGTTTCAGGATATGTAAGGTAGGTTTTAGGTTTCAAAAATTGAGGCACATATTTCAACAAATAGGTTCTAGGTAGGTGAAACCTAGAACCTAAAACCTTGAATAAGTTTTTGTGTTTTTCTTGGTCCGTCTTCGTGCGATCGAGCGGTATTCTATTGCGTTCAACGATGAGTGTATAACCTAGAACCACTAGTCTGAGCTCCCATTTTATGACTGAGACTTTCACTTTGTTAATATTTCATATTCTTTGTGTGCCTAAATATAAATGATGGTCAGTGGATTGTAACAGCAAGTAATGGTCATTAAATGTGATGATTCATTATAATCGTTCAATTTATAATACAGGTGGAATTTAGGTAGACCTCGAAACCTGTGATAGGATAGGTTCCAAGTTCCAAGGTATGCATGTTAAGTTCCAAGTTCCAAAAAATGAGGAACCTCTTCCAATTGGTAGGTTCTAAATTCCAAGTAGAACCTGTACGAAACCTAGTACTACTCACACCTAGTTGATACCCTAAAAATGAGTTAGTAATTTAATTGGAAGAAGGTTGGTAAGTCTTTCAAATTAAAAAAGTAAATTCATATAATAGTTGGTAAATTTAAGGCATTACTAAGAAAGAGAAATAAAAATTAATAGAAAAATATTTAAAAAAATTGGCAATTTGCAAACTGTCGGCGATTTATGACCAAAATTAATCGGAATGACTAAATTGGAAAATCGTTAAAAGATTTAGAACTGAATTGGCCGAATTGAAAAGTTTATGATCGGATTTGCCGCCGTACAATAGGCTGAAAACTTTTTGGAAAATTATTCCAAAGCATATCAGATGAGTTCATTATTGTAACAACCTAATTTCGCAATGGTACGGGTTTTGTGTACCGTCACATCCCACTTTTATGTGAATATAATAAATCTTGGTGGCTTTTCAACTTGTAGCACAATTTAAACAAGGGTTAATACTATGAAAAACCCCAAACTTGTACATTTGTGACAAATTTATCCCAAACTAATTTTTTTACCACCAAAAACCCCAACCGGTACACATGTGATAATTTTACCCTCCGTTAATTTCTGTTAACATTTTACCGTCAAATTCTGAGTTTGATGACACGTGACAATTGACGAATGTACCGGTTTGGGGTTTTACCCTCCGTTTACCACAAGTGTACTGGTTTGTATTTTTTCGTGATATTAATTCAATTTAACAGAGGGTAAATTTGTTACAAATATTTTTGGTGGGCAATAAATTAGTTTGGGGTAAATTTATCACAAATGTACCAGTTTGGGGTTTTTCGCGATAAAAAAATTAGTTTGGGTCAAATTTGTCACAGATGTACCAGTTTAGAATTGTTCGTGATATTAATCATTTAAACAAAGAGAGACCAAAGTTCATGTGTTTGGTGGCCTTGTAACATTTTTATATGGTGCAAGAGGGGGGGAGGTTGCATTCCGACATTGATCACATGCATCGCTATCAACTACCTAAAAATGGAGTAGAAAATGACCAATCGGATAAGGATATCGAAAGTCCACGACGACCAAAAACGCCTAGAATAAGTGGAGGAGATAGGTGATTTTACAAATAATTGACCTGCCAAAACCCTAAACTTGTGGGGTTAATGTTCAACTTTCATTTACATGTGCCATAAACAATTTATTATCGTTTTCTCCTACTGTAAGATTCCAGAGCCGTCCTCAGATGCTTTCCCAAATTTCAGTAAAAGGCCTTTGAAAATTCCAGAACTGTATGCATCCCTTGTTTTCGCATCTTTTGGGTAACAGAATGCTGCTTCCCTTTGGTTATATTTATCTTAGTTTTCATTTGTAAATAGTAAAATCATTTAAACTCGTTTTAGTTTATTCAAATGCTTCTCGATCGAAAACGATGTTTGGTTATGCTGAATAGTGAATGTTTTTGTCTATTATCATTTCGCCAAACAATGTTCGTCGTGTCTGGATGTTATTGTACCTTTTATTTGCGTTACTCCGCAATACCTTTCATTATGATGAAAATAAATCTCAACTAGCTAGAGCTAACAAAACAAAAGTAGCACGTTTATTTCTTTATAACATTGGAAGAACTACTCTCGCAATTCAAAATGATAGTCTCAGTGTTTATCATATCGGACGTGAGAAAGTTTCAATTATTGTAGGACGAATAAAAATTTCAAAGATGCGAGTAGCTCTTGTGCCTTTTAATAAGGGCAAATGATTTGTATAACATCAAACGGCTACAAAGGATATGCCATATGCCCTAGTAGGTTTCACATGCAGACGCCTTTTTTTTAGGCCACTACATGCCAAACTAAAACGTAAATTTTTCTATAAGCAATAAATTTGGAGATGCACACAGAAGTAAACATGATTTTGATGCAACTCACAAGCATCTCTGGAGTCAGAATTGAATATTGATGTGTGTATATATAGACAGAGTGGAGATAGTAACAGCAAATGGTTTGCAGAATTCATTTACTAAATGATATACTAATGTGTTAGTTGGCATTCGAGATGCGTAGGGTTATAATCAAGTACCATGAGAATTCTACAAAATCACTCTGTAATTGTAGACTTATATTACATAGGTTTAATGTGTCAAGCATTGTTTCATAGGGAAATAAGGTCTTGATAGCAATAACGCGGATCCGTGAAAGAACCAACCATCAGGGGCACTCGATCTACCTTGTCGAGAATATTTTCGACTTAGTGAAAAATAGCCTTTTAAAAGAAGTTTGGTATGTCATTCCACCTTCCAATACCTTTTTTAGCTACTTCAAAAGCAGCTGGCAAGTTTCGAGCATAAAAATTGACAGAGGAGCTAGGAATTATTAAAGAAGTTCAATCCCAAAGTTTTGCTGAGTTTAATCATTACAAAAATTTTAAGCTATTTTTCTCCTCTCCAATAGTCGGTAATGAATTATCTATTGTGTCTGAGAAGGCTTTTTCTTTGAGGCCAATAGGCATGTTTCACGCTCTGCAGTTTGAGCTTATAGCTGCATTCAAAAGTAAACGCCTGGTATGTCCTATATCTCCCCTATAAATACTTCCCTCCAAGCTGAGAAGAAGATATCACTTGCCCATTGAAGCCTTCTTCTTCACTTCCCTCTTGCACGCCATTAGCAATGGAGATTGGTCCAAGAATGGTGGCTACTGTTGTTACAGTCATGAGCTTCGCCGTCTTCTTGGGCGTGGTTTCTGCTGATCCTGACATGCTCCAAGATGTCTGCGTCGCCGATCTCGCTTCCAGTAAGAGCATACATGCTTATCTATGCGCGTTTCTTATAGTCTTCTTCTTAAACTGCCGACGACTGCAGACCAGTATCAATAAACCCTAGATGTTAATTCTAACATGTATATGACCTGTTTTCTCCTGTACTTCTCCATGACAGGAACTATGTAACGCTACTCTTTCTTTTCTCATTAGCCAAACTGTTTTTGAAGTTAGTATGGCGCTCATTATTTTATCTCATGGATCAAATAATATGCACGTTTAAGTCATTGTCTGATTCATGCATTTGCGATGAACAGAAGTGAAGGTCAATGGATTCCCGTGCAAAGCGACTTTCAACGAAACGGACTTCTTCTTCGCCGGGCTGGCCAAACCCGGACTCACCAACAACACCTTAGGCTCTCTAGTGACCGCGGCCAATGTCGAGGAGATCCCAGGCCTCAACACCCTCGGCGTGTCCCTAGCCCGCATCGACTATGCTCCTTACGGCCTCAACCCGCCCCACACCCACCCACGAGCCACCGAGATGGTGTTCGTGCTCTATGGAGAACTATACATCGGATTCATAACCACCGCTAACGTCCTCGTCGCTAAGACTATCAAGGCGGGCGAGATCTTTGTGTTCCCTAGGGGTTTGGTCCACTTCCAAAAGAACGTCATGGACGCCCCTGCGGCCGTCATCGCAGCATTCAACAGCCAATTGCCAGGGGTTCAAGCCATCGCAACCACACTGTTTGCGGCCACGCCTCCAGTGCCCGACGACGTGTTGGCCATGGCATTCCAGATTGACGCTCAGCAGGTTGAGATGATCAAGGCTAAGCTTGCCCCCAAGAGCTAGTCTCCTTGTTAAACTCCAGACACGTCAATTCAAGTTTGATTTGGCCCTAAAATAAAATCAAGTTTGACATTGCAATTTCGATTCTGCTCCTCTGAAAATTGTTATCTTTGTTGGTTTCAATAACCCAACGTTTGTGATCTTTTTGTACCCTTTTTATTGAATAAAAGAGGTTTTGAGCCGCCAGAAAAAGGTTTAGGGCTTCCTTAGCAAATTTTTCTATTTGTATGATCTTATCTAATACGTATATAAAAAAAATACCTGCTCCAACCTGTCTCACTAATCAAACAAATTATAACTTGGCTCTTTCCTCTCTATCTTGTCCTTGAACAGGATCTGGTGAACTAGCTAAACTTAAATCAGCTTTGCATATGGAAAGTTGCAACTTTGGTAAGGCATAAGTAGATAATCATAGTGGCAAATCGCGATCAAGGGACTCAAAATTTGTGATAAATTGATCTAATTCTATCCAAATCTGTTCAATATCGATGTAAAATCTGACCGGGCCTTTGAGTAGTTCGCGACATTATTTAATTAGTACCTCTAGATTTACGCGAAAATTGTGAAACCCGTGAGTACATATGTGTGTGGGCTTTTAGGTAATTAAGTTAGATTTAATCATTAACCAAAGTAGCTTAAGGAGCTGAATAGTTGCCAAATATCTTCGACCTCTCATTTTCAGATAAGCTGTAGCTATCAGAAACTCAAGTAGGACCGGGGTAGCTTTAGTAAGTCAAACGCCAAAGATGCTTGTGAAAATTAGAGGGAAGAAGCAAGAATTTTCGCCATTGAATTGACAGCTCCGGACATCATTTGATTAGATCCCGATCTCATGGGCTAATTCATATACTGCTCGCACAGTTCCAAGTCTAAGACTGTATTCGTTATATTCTTTTGAAAGCTGAAGTCGACGTGAATTTTCGCAAGAGAAACATAACGCTAAACATAAAATAACAAAAATAAATATTCACATCAATCGATGCGATTGTGTCAACATCAAAATTTGCTTCCACTGCCCATTTTTGGCCAACGGCTGACAATTGAAGGAGGTTGATCATCAGGAAGCATTCAAATTAAGGTGTGTTATACGTATTACTAAATCTTCCCTTACATAATCGTGATTATCCGCGCATTGTTTGGTGAGATTGTAAAGATTGGTCCACAATAATCCCTTGGCAAAAGTGCCAAGTGGAACATATTCCAACATCCCACAAAGCATTTCATGCTTCCCTTTCTAATTCACTATTAATACCCTCAAGAATATGTTTTTTTTTTCTTTTTTTGTTAATTGCAATGTAAAGCTATTAATGGAAATGTAAGTTTATCTTCTGATTTCCATACTAAATTTATCTTTCCGGTCTGATCAAGGTTAAAGAGCAATCGACCTTATGATTAATGGGTTTTCTCCTATCAAAACTGCTGTTCGATAATCAAATCTCAAAAGAATGATTAGATTAGAGAGATGATTGCGAGATTTATACTTATTGAATGTGCAAGTCTCGATTAGGGACTTACTAAGTGTGTGTTTGTTTCACTAGAAGAGCTTTTCATAAATTAGTTTTCCGAACTTTCACGTGTTTTGGTTCGTTGATAATGATTAGCCAATCGAAAAACATTCACGATCAAAAGAAAACACCCACACGTATAATTAGGAAAATGAATTCCCCATTCTTACTAGAAAAAAATCATTTTCCCAAGCGTAACTAGTCTCTTACCACAACGCTTAATAGATTCTTCTAGAATTTTAAATGATTTTCAACATATTACCAACTATAAAAAAAAAAATCTAACCATTTTCCTCGAAAACGACTTTATCTAAAATATTTTCCTTTACTATTCCCACATGCCTCTATATATGCTTTGTTGATTTTGTCAATTGACAGTTCAACGCCCAAATATGCTGTGGGGGGAATGAGAAGAAATTCACATTACATCACGAAACAGTAAACAGAATGTGACAGCAACTCGTTCCAGCGTCTCAATCCTGCTTATTTCTAAACTTGTTTTTCAGCATCGATTAAGAAACTACTAAATTAAACCGCTCACGCATCAACCTCAATTAATGTTCACAAAAACAAAACTTAGCGATCATGGCGTAGGCATTGACTAATTATTGTATTCAACTTGATCGGGATAAGCTGGCAAATTAGATTCCACTCTCTTTCTTATGCAACTCAACTCATTTAGGACTGAACATCGACCGTATTAAATTTTTTTTTCTTTTTAGTAAAGCAAAAACCCGATAAGATTATATTAAGTTAGGACATGCGAGGATCTTGCCCAATAAAACATGTGCAAAGCCCGCGAAAGGAGCACTCGAGTGATCAACTTTAGGGAGTGATCAACTTTAGGGATGAGTATCGACTTAATGATACCAAAAACTCCCGTGTCATGTCCTTGTTGTCATCGCCCCGGCCTCTCGACGCATAACCCAACACGTGCCTGTGTAATTGGATAAGGGTTAATACCATGAAAAATCTCAAACTGATACATTTGTGATAAATTGATCCCAAACTAATTTTTTTACTACCAAAAACCCCAAACTAGTACACTTTTAACAAATTTACCATAAATTAACTTTTTTACCACCAAAAATCCAAAATCGGTATATCTGTGACAAATTTACTCTTCGTTAGCTTTCGTCAAAGTTTACTATTAAATTTGCCGACTTGTATGACATATGGTGATGTGGCAAGTCCAAGTTGAAATCCACAGGGTAAATACCACGAAAAACTCCAAAGCTGTATACTTGTGATAAATTGACTGTACTAATTTGGGGGTTTTCGTGATATTAACCCTATAGATATGTCACCATACCACTTCATCATGTATCATCCATGTCAGAAAATTTAATGGTAAAATTTGACGAAAACTAACATATGATAAATTTATCACGGGTGTATCAGTTTTGGAGTTTTTGGTTATCAAAAAGTTAGTTTTGAGTAAATTTATTACAGGTGTACCAGTTTGGGGTTTTTTGTAGTCAAAAAATTAATTTTTTGTAAATTTATCACAAGTGTACCAGTTTGCAATTTTTCGTGGTATTAACCCCATTTGAGAAATTCTTATATGGACTTGAGCCCACTCCGGACGTCCATTTTGTGGGTCCTGAAAACTAGATGGCCGCGATGCATCTATCCAATCAAAAAAATTCGGTTTATCATTGCGCACCCTTTTACAATCCATATGTCAGGCTTTCTAGCTCGTGGCACGGCTCGACTGACTATATATCTCTTTCAAAATCGAACTCTTTTTATCCAATGATCATGTGGATTCGATTAATTCTCTAGCTGACAAAGCCAAGTTACATACGTTATTGGTAGTACACAAGATCAATATGAGCAAATACGATCAGTCCTTTTGAGTTTCGATGCACGCTCGGCTCAGCATCGTGTCGGACCATGTTGGCATGTCAACCGCGGACACGATCCTCGCCCTCCTGCAAGGATGCAACAGCCTCCGGAGGCTCAAGACCATCCACGCGCAGGTCTTCGTCCACGGCCTCCAGAGCAACCCCTCCATCTCGGGCAAGCTCCTCCGCTTCTGCGCGGTCTCCGTCTCCGGTTGCTTGGCCTATGCCCGGATCCTGTTCGACCGCATCGAATGCCCGCAGACCCACGATTGGAGCTCCATCATCAGGGGCTTTGCCGTCGGCCCATCTCCTCTGGAGGCCCTTCTTTACTACAACGGCATGCTTGGGTCGTCGTCCTTTTCTTGCCCCGACGGCTACTCTTTCTCGTTCGCCCTCAAGGCGTGCGAGAGAGTTGGGAATGAAAGGAAGTGCGGAGAGATTCATGGGACCGTGATTCGATCTGGTTATGAGATGGATGTCGTGGTGTGCACGAACCTGATGCGGTGTTACGCGGGGAATGGGTTGGTTGAGGTCGCGCGGAAGGTGTTTGAAGGTATGTCCGAGAGGGACTTGGTTTCTTGGAATTGCATGATCTCCTGTTGCTCTCAGGCTGGTCTGCACCATGAGGCCCTGGGGTTGTACCGTCGGATGAGGAAAGAGAATGTGGATGTCGATGGCTTCACGTTGGTGGGATTGCTCTCGTGCTGCGCTCACGTGGGGGCGTTGAATGTGGGTGTTGAATTGCATAGGAGAGCTAGCCGAGAGGGATTTTTGGGGAACATTTATGTTGCAAATGCTCTTATCGACCTGTATGGGAAATGTGGTGACTTGGCCGGGGCTCTTTCCGTCTTTAATGGGATGTCGAAACGGGATGTTTTCACGTGGAACTCTATGATCACCGCGTATGGAGTGAATGGGTGTGCGGATGAAGCCATCCTATTCTTCAGGCAGATGTTGAGAGAAGGTGCTTGGCCGAGCTCCATCACATTTCTAGGATTGTTGTCAGGCTGTAGCCACCAAGGCCTAGTGGACAAGGGTGTTCAGTTTTTCCATATGATGAGCTATAAGTTCAACTTAAAGCCAGAAATTAAGCATTATGGATGCATGGTTGATTTGTATGGACGTGCTGGGAAGCTTGAAAAGGCGCTAGAAATCATAAAAACCTCTCCTTTTCTGGTTGATCCTGTCATTTGGCGAACTCTTCTAGGTTCTTGCAAGATCCACCAAAATGCGCGCATAGGGGAGGTTGCCATTAAGAATCTGGTCCAGCTTGGAGCATGTAATGCAGGGGACTGTATACTTCTTGCTACAATATATGCTGAATGCAATGACAAGCAAGGTGTTGCAAGAATGAGAAGGTTGATCAAAAGCCAAGGAATTAGGACGACTCCTGGTTGGAGCTGGATTGAAATTGGCAACCGGGTACATAGATTTTTTGTGGATGACCAGTCACATCCTGATCGAGACGAAATCTATCGTAAGTTAGAGGAAGTAATTTACAGGGCCAGTTTGGCTGGTTATGTGAATAGTAAGTTTCAAGTGACCATGCCTGACTTAAAATGTGAAGGGCATCTGGAGTCCTCCAGTAAATATCACAGCGAGAAACTGGCAATTACTTTTGGATTGTCGAGAACTCCTGATGAAACTAACCTCCGGATAGTGAAGAATCTGAGGATATGCAGAGACTGCCACTCATTTGCGAAGTTTGTCTCACAAGCATTTAGTCGAGAAATTATTGTGAGGGATCGAGTTAGATTTCATCATTTCAGGGGTGGAGTATGTTCCTGCAAGGAGTACTGGTGAAAACCGAGCATTGTGATTGATTACCTTTAACATTAAAAGGGAAAAAGATAACACGTATGGAAGAAGCCTAGGAGCAAGGACTACTCAAAATTGCAGCTACTTGGCCCACTCTTGGCTAAAAAGATTTTGCCAAGGAGACGCAGCTGAAGCTCAAGCTTCATTACATTATCAAGGATGTTGTCTGACATATATGATGCAGAACCATAATCAAGATGGAAGTCTGATGTCGTGAAAGTTTATATTCAAATACATATGGATCACTTCCATCAATTGGTCGCACTTTGGTTTTCAGTATTTCACATTGCAACTTCCAATGTGACAGAAATGTCAAATTATCATACGTCGAGGACAGTCCATGGGTCTGTGACTCTGTCCTCGTCTGTGACTTGCTATCTTCTAATGAGTTCCTGAATACAATAAAATGGGCGAAATCTAAATGCGCTTTACCAAAAAAAAAAAGTAAACGCTTAAACCGATTGAGTTTATGTTATCCTGGCTAGCCTGCTCCCTGCTGCACCTTTTTATTCAAGTATGACCACTGTACAAGCCCTAGACTTAATATCTCGGTGTAAGTCGCATATTGACATCAGTTGCAGATGCTTTCCTCCAACCTGGTACAGCTTAATGTACCAGTTCATCAACTAGACTGACCAGCTCAATGAAACGATGAAATTTCTCGGGGAGCTTATGCAGAATGCATGCTCTAACTAGCTTTATATATGGTGGCTTATGAAGACATGGATTTCCTTACTGCTGGAGCTCCTGAATTTCTGGACCATTTCATAGATCCCATCATCCCAGCTCAAGAACAAACCAAGCTCGAAAGGCTCTCAGGAAATTAAATTGACCGATCACATTTGGGTCTTTTGCCTGCCTGTCTTGATTTTCATTGTAAACTCAGAGGAGATAATCTGAAAATAAATATGTATGAGCAGAGATGGGTGCTTCTCATATACATATTCAGCATGTTCTCCTGTGCCGTTTCATTAACGTTTGTGTGTCACCGTTACATGCTGAGAAAAGAACTTTGATACGTATGCTATTCAACGATATACCCATGACTTCTGAATTATGACAATAACAATCATGAATACATTGAAGCTTGTATGTCAACAAAAGTAAAAATAGCGCATAACTGTGCGTCAGGACAAGTCAAGTTTGGTGAGAACTTTTACAGGCATTTCTCAGTGGTATGCTTCTGGAGATGCGAGAGGAGGCCGAACTCACAATTAGGTTCCGCCAACAGTTCTAAAAGTTGCCTAGACAGAATTGTTGAACTGGCATATTGGCTCTATAGGTGCAAGAACCTGTATCGTGCATTTCGTGTACAACTTGTTCTACAGTTCTGAAAGTCATTAACTTACCTGTGGAGGTTTGTAAGTACGAAACATACATTAGGCGCGCATGAGAAATTTGAGTACCTATAACTCTGATTTCGCAAAAAGTCTTGTCATGCTTCTTTTGTTTCTTTGTAATTCACCAAAAAGCCACGGCCATCTTTCACAACCAAACTTTAACAGCAACGAAAACAGAATGTTTTGCAATAGTCAACCCTTAGACATCCCCTTCTCTTCTTTCCTCACAGCAACAAAACCGGAAACCATAAACACAGGGTTTTCCTGATAAACCTTAAATGATCCTTAGAAGAAAAAAGGACATCAGAGTCAAAAGGAGTTCAATTCACTTGCAACAGGCTGGAGAAAACAAGAAAAATAAACCTTCACTAGAAGCACGGTACATGACATGACATGCAGTCTCATCGTTCAGCTGTACAGAACGATTGCACATCTTATTTTTTCCCTTCAAACTAGACCCGGCTTATTAGCTACAGCAAGTTCAACAGATATGATGAAGGTGGATTTTCCAGCTTCCCTCAGGTACTGCACATCTCCGTTCATTAGCTTCACCAACTTTCTGCTGATAAGCAGGCTGATGCCTTCCTCAGATATCTCTCCATCATTTTCAAACATCTGGTTCAACAACGTTTCCGGTACCCCACCACCAGCATAGGTCAATCTGATTCAAATTGAAGTATTAAATTGCAAAATTTGTTTGAAACAGGGTGCACAATTTCAATTTCTGGCCATCCATTGCCAACTAATATAAACAGAGAATTGCGTGTATAAACACAGGTGTACATGAGTTAACTTGAGAACAGAATGTCTCCAGTACCTTAGCTCCAGGTGCGCAAGTTGAACAGATTCTCCTAAGTGATCTTTGGTCAAACGAGCTGCAATAACAAGTTGGCTTCCTGTTGGGGTGTAGTTAACTGATATCGACAAGAAATCCGCCAAGACCTGTTGAAGCCTGAGACTATCCCCGTATAAAGTTTCGGTCATGGCTTCTTCCGTTGCATCATTGACAATTCGTACACCCTTTCCATTGCTTTTTATCATGACTTGACTCGTGGAAGCCACCAAGACTTGGTGGAGAGTAAACTCAACCATTTCCAATTCCAAGTATCTGTTGAGAAAGAAATAAGGAATTAGCTAACAGAAAAGGGGAAAAAGAATGACACACTAAAGCTATCAGCTCACCAAATGGAAATACAGAATTAGAAAACAGGACGGGACCAATCTTTTCAATCTTCCTTCATTGCATCAATTATGTATCTAAACTTCGCTACTTTTGAGAGACAGTATACTTGGTGATAAATACATCCCCACCCAATACCGGACACAGCAATATAACCATATGGGAAAAACACATCTCAACATATCAGAGCAGTCTAAGCTTCAGTAGGTTTGATTCAATCACCGCTACATATTTTCATTCAAAGAAGGAGAAAAGGCAAACTCATCAATGACCAGAGAAAGAACAAATCATTACACCACCAGAAGGTAAGGAAAAGACAACCACCAGATAGTGCTTCTGAAAGAAATTAGACTCAAGCCTTGTGTGTTTCTTATCTTTATCTCCCCTGAAAAGTGAATATTTTGAAATCTATCCTTCCAAGCAAACAAGAACACAAGGTAAAGTAGAGATTTCGAAGCATGAAAACATTCTACACTGGATGAGCTATGAGATTGCAAAATGAAATGTGCTCAGACACTATTTATGTGTATCGAGTGATCATACCCATCAATGATGCTATCCAGATCTGAGTCATCAAGGATCTTGCCCAGCTGGCTTTGGCATTGAGCACTAGTATGTAGCAACAGCTTCTGTTCTAGTCCTAACTCAGTACCCTCCAGCATTTTGCGAGAAAACATTATCCCGGAGAGAGGGTTTCGAATCTGCCTTTTCATGTAAGCTAATTGTTTTAACCTTTTCAAGGCAGTTTGTTCAGTTAACCGTTGGAGATGAAGCGCCCGCTGCAGCTCTTGACTTGCGAGCTGCAAGAAGCAAAAAATTCCAGTCCCCGAACCCTCTCCGTCAAATTTCTTGCTCACGCATAGTAGGCAGTCCACAAACTTCCCACCCCGAGCAAAGAATCCAAACGGAACCTTCTCCGGCTCTTTGCCAGTCATAGCACCATTAAGCACTACGCCAAGATTAACAAAAGCTTCTTGATTCTTGAGACGACAGCATGCCATGTGCATGCCAAAAACCTCCCCCAGTAGCATTTTATCTATTATTTCTTCCCGTTTCCACCCGGTCAATTTTGCCATAGCTGGATTCCACTCAGAGCACCAGCCAAATTCATCTGTTCCGAAAATCGGGGGTATCAAGGGGTTCGGATTTTGCACAATCGCTTTGTAGTCACCTTCGATTCGAGTGAACTTGTCCATGACCATTTTCTGACCAGTAATGTCCTGAGCGACAAAACACACACCCACGACATTTTCTTGAATGTCCCTGCTAGCGCAGGCATTCGCAACTAAGCTGATCGGGCCAGAGTCAGCTCTAGAATCATGTGTTTTAATCTCAAACTGGATATTCTTCTCTTCCTTGCCTGCGATGAAAGAAGGTAGAACAATGTAATTAACCGTACTTACTTAATATCCAAGCACAAAGAAAGAATTAATTTAAGATGACGTGCATCCCCCTTTGCCAAGGACACATGCTGATTCCACAAACAAGCACAATATCTTTGCATTAGAAATGCCATCGGCCATCAGCCCAAAGAAGTACACTACCAAAACATGCACCCTGAAATCACGACATTTGATATTGAAACTCAGAGTTGGACATACCATGTAATGCCATGTGTAGCATTTTCTTTACTATATCAACAGAAGAATCGTCCACCAGTGTGAGCAAATGCTTCCCTAATGCTTTCTCAACAGACAGACCAGTTAGCTCAGCAATTTTTGTATTCCAACCATTAACCAGCCCATCAGCATTGACAGCCAGTATCGGTACTGTGGCTGTTTCAATCAGACGGACCATCTCACTTGTCACTGCTTCCAATTCTTGAATCCCTTCAATTTTAAGGTCATTAAGCCTCGTATGGATGGTTGAGGTGTTCATGTCAATCGCTTCATTTTCTTTTAAGGCGTTCCTCAAGATAAGCTGCAGCGAGTGGATTGCATCCATCTCAAAGTCTTTCCAAGGTAAACTCCTTGTCTTGACAACTTCAAGAAAAGCCTTGAAGGACGACCTTGGATGCATTTTCCTATTATCGTCCTTCTCGCCAGGGTCATGCTTTGCTCCACCCCAGCGAATTTCAGAGGCAGTTGGTGAGCGGAACCAGAAAATCATGTCCTTTGCACTTATTCTCACAGCAGCCATCCCACACACAATGTCACCAACAGCAAGTGCCCCTGGGAATCCTGCGTCATACAAGCTATCTGTACTCAATCCCGTGGAATCCATATGGTACTCGGACAACCATAATGCGATGTCAAGCAATTGTGCATCATTCGGAGTTACTCCCAGCTTATATGTCTTGCTTTTATACAGAAGGGCAGCGCCATCACATTTAACAAGGTCCATCACATTTGGGGTCTGAGACACAATGCCTAGAGGTGCATCACGCATCAGCATATCGCACAAGAGCGTCTGGGTTCGCAAGATATTTTTCTCGATCATTTGATTTTCTAGCTCAAGCTCCTTGTTGACATGGATAGCAAACACCTGGGCAAGAAACTCACAGGCATACCGGAGAGGGAACGGAACAAACCTTGGAGTTGTGTTATGGCAAACTACTAGACCCCAAAGTCTCTTTCTCTTTTGAGGCTGCACAGAGTTGGGGTCGTCGACTTCTTCGTTATCCTCATTGATGACAACTGCCATAACCAAAGAAGCGATAGAGTTCATGTTTTCCATGTACTGCAAATGACAAGTGTGTGGGGCCCTCAGGGTCGAACCGCACAAGGTGGGATCAAAGGGCAGATTCTCATCCTGAAGCACCTTCACATGTTTTGCCCGGCAATCAACAATCATACGGACCTTATTCTTCATGAACAGAAACCGTGCAGCTTGAGGAATATCCGTGGCAGGATAATGCAGACCCAGATATGGCTCCAGGCCTGGCTTTGTTATCTCTGAGACTACTTCGCCATGGTCATCATCATGGAACTTATATGCCATAACCCTGTCATACCCCGTTAGTTCAAAGACTTCCTGAACCATCGTGTCACAAAGCCTTTCCATACTCCCACTAGGCAAAGACTGCAAGCGCGCAATGGCTTTGGCCGCAAGCTTATATGACTGCAAGGCTCCAGCGGCTGTCATAGGGACTTCATAAGGCTTCACAGGTTCGAAATCAATGATTATGCTACCAGTCACTCTATGGACAATTCCATAGAAGGGCTTCCCAGTAGTTTTACAATGGACTAAGATGGGATTCAAGAGAGAAACATCTGCAAATCCAAAGACCTTATGGAGAGCAGAGGCGCTGGGCGCAGTAAATATGGTCCTGACGTCGGTCCCGATCCCGAGGACCGGCTGGTCCCCAACGCTTGGAACTGCGTGGCTCACCATGGTCAGCATTTCCGGTGCATTCTCACTGTACGCAGTGACCTTGAAAGTTTTCTCATCCAATGCCAAAAGGCAACCAAATGGCTGGATCGTCTTCCCTTTCTGTATCTGATGGAGGTAAGCCGTTGTTACTTTGTCGGATCTTGGTTGCTGATCTCCACTCAGGGCACCCGTCACCCGTACTGAGCTTGAATAGTCAAAGGAACTACCAGACTCCTCGAAATCAGCATGCAGCTTAGCATCTACAGTGGTTTGAGCAATTATCCTCACGCTATGCCTCGACCTCGCTGAGTTGCTGGATGATTGGCTGGGTCTTGAAGAAGACATCTCTGATCAAATCTGTTCGGAGCACAAAAATATAACTAACTCCAAGAACTGATAAATCCTGATTCAGGTAGCCGCATGAATTTGCTCTGCCCAAACTCCAGTCGGATTTGGCAAATGGATAATAAACACATACCAATATGTTCTGAAAAGGCTCCATAAAGACATAGCAAAAGAGTACTTCAATACTGGATATGCAAAACTATGTGCAACATTTCATTTCCAGCTCTCTAGTCAGATAAACGGTTACCCCATATTTGATCTAAGTTCTATGGAGCGTATTCAACTGGAAACTGAAGCTTGAGACAGTTTAGAATTCCAGAGTAAACTAAATGCAGAGCAAGATGACAGATATCCCACGGTTATGATAAAAATGTCCTATATAAATGACAAACGCCCTATGCTTTCATTAAGCAAATTCTTACCGATCAAAGACCAACAGCTACAGCTAAATGAGCAAACTAGTTCCTACATAAAATGAATTACCAACTGAAACAGAACAGCATAAAACCTACAAGTGCCTAAGTCACACAGACATGTAGAGACAATTACAACACAAACACAAGCCAATCCTCAAACTTAGCGAAGCTAGAAAAGAAAATGAAGTTCTTGCACCTTGGTAAGCTCTGAGAAGGGAGTCCAGTAAGAGCAGAAAGATTTTCTCCTCAGTCTTTCATTCCCAACAGAACGGTAGCCAAAAGAAGAGCAGCTTCAAGAAGAGCCTGGAAATTTGAAGAATCCCAGGAAGCGGAGGAAACACCTTTTTGAACGACAAGAACAAAACCCTCCAACACAATTTTATCAATCCAAGACCTCGATCACCGCCTTCTCTGTCCCCCTCCTCTCACAAGACTATACTTGAAGGGACCACTTAAATCGAACTCACCCATCTCTTTATTTTCCTTTCTTTCTTTTATTTTTCACCTCTCCCTTGATGAATCTCCCTCCAGCTCTATCCAATCAACACTCAGCAAGGCAGACAGAGGAGTGAAAAAGAAACTATATTTTAAAGAAAATGGGAGGACTGTAGTACAGTTCCAATGTTTGGATGATGAGAGAGAGAGAGAGAGAGATAGAGAGACAGAAAGAGGGAGTCTGGATCCCAGCTATAATTAGCATGAACTCGTGATTTCATTAGCTGAGGCTCAGCCAGGCGCTCACCATAAAGTTTCTATTTTTAATCACTACCGATTCCTCCCCCCCATTAAAGAAAGGGGGGAAAAGCAGGGGAGAGAGGAGGGAGGAAAATGAAACCAAGAACACAGTACCCACTACGATTGCCCACTTGGGACAAGCGACAAAAACTCGTAGTGGGGTTCCTCTATATCATTAAAATATAAAGGAGGGAGGATAAGAAAAGGGGATGCAAGCCCAGTTGCAGAAAGGCAGAGGAGAGAGACGAAAATGTGATGAGAGGGACGGAGACATCCCCCTCCCAGTTGCGGAAAGACGGAGGAGAGAGAGAGAGGAAACGTGACGACAGAGGGAGGCTGATGCTGCAAAGAAGGAAGGGCAGGGCTTCGGTTTTTTTAAGTATTAATTGTCATCGGAATTGATTCAGGTGCAGAACTGCAGATGGTCATGGCCTTCTTTGGCATTGGCATTGGCATAGGCACTGGCACTGTCCCCACGTACGGAGACTTGAGGAATACCGGCAAGTGAATGGGGGGGTTATGGCGCTCACGTGTGCCCCCTCCCCCCCTTGTCAGGTCCCCTGCCAATCAACACCAGCTTGATCTTGAACTCGACCATCCCCATTTCGCAATTCTCTTCTTCTTCTTCTTTTTTCTTCTCTCTTTCTTCCGTCTGGATTATTATATTTTTCTTAACCTGGGAGGAAACCCATCTGCACAAGTTGGCGAGTTGGATAGAGCTTCTGAGATTTCGATGGGGGTCGAAACTAGGGAAAAGCGTGAGCGTGCAGGGTCGAACTCCTGGTCTCATTGTCAAGTCGGTATCTCTACCGTTGGTTTCTTGCCCTGTTGAGATTGAAAGCAGTACTTCGCGACGTTTTTCATGCGCCGCAGGATCTTCTGCTTTAAGCTTAGTGGCCTTTTTTTCTAGTCAAGCATAGCTCACATTGAAGTCCTATTGAACGTACACACGGACCTCGTATGATTCGCGTACCATGACCGTCAAGCCAAGTGGTGTAAGACCACGAGCAAGAAATATTTCCATTTTCTCGGTATTTAGATGGACAGTGCGCATGAATTTGTCAAGGCTTTCCACGAATTATATTGTCGATATAAGTGACCATGTTCGAGTAAAATATATCAGGGTTGGGACACATCATGATTGATCCCTGGATGTGTACTCATTTCCAAACTGCTGCTTGAGTGAGTTCCGAGAGCAGAATGCATGAAGTTCAGTGCATTTTCAGGCCTCATACGGCACTTTTCAGATGGCCATTGCACTGATCAGGCCGTGACTCGAGATGCCTGTTAAAGGGTCCAGTCTACAACTAATATATTCACTTATCACTTGTTCTCTGTTCCCTTGTCCCCTATGAATCCATCGAATCACACGTGATGTAAAATGCAGGAGGTAACGAAGAAGCGGTTTTCGTTTTACAACATTGGAAACTGTTGGCTGCGTACTTCTTTTGGCTCTTGAAATATGGGTATGTGCAAGACACGATATTCGTTTGTGCTGAAAGTCGGAAAACACGTGCGGTTGTCGATTGAAAAACTTAAACCACTGTGCCAACCTTCAGTATTGCAACACTTACAACCATGTGTAACGATTAGGCGACGATTCTGAAATACCAACAGCGAGACACCGTTTTCTTATTGCTGGTACACAGCCCACTGGGGAAAATCTCATATCATTGTGCCCTTCCGTCTTAACCGACATATGTGGACAAGGCGACCCAAACACATAAACACTTTGAGAGGTTTACCGACCGACAGATCTGTGCATGCCGAACTTTGTTTTGGGTAAGCAGAAGCAACACCAAAACGTTTGGATCAATAGTATCCCGGAATAACATCCAGTGGCTCCAGTATCTCGACACAAATTACGGTAGCCATTCTTGGACAGATCTTTCTTGCTTGCAATCCTTCTTGTTTCGCATATGTTCAACAATGTCCGGTGCTCAGAGGCAGCAAACATGTTGTACGTTCTGCTGAAAGTGTTCAATCTCATCAATAAGCATGGGAATCACTGACTCTGTGCTCCAATCTCAATTATTAAGTGTCTGAAGACTCTGAACTGATGAATCCATGGTTCAAGATTCTGCTAGGCAATCATTGCATCACTCTCCCCTGCCTTCGCCAATCTGGGTTGACTTCTAGGTTGAGAGAAGTCTTGATGTCCAGCAGTGATCACAATATAAGTTTTATTCTCAATCCACCGATTTCTCTGAGCAGCTGCTTCAACACTTTCCGGTTTCAGAATGTCATACACAAGGACGGCAGTTCTCAATGAAGTCGTCAACCAACTTTCTCCAGTCAATGAAAATTCATTATGTATGAATTTGAGATCTTCTACATCTCTGGACGTGAGGACCAAAATCAGATCATCTATGAAAAATCCACCGGAGCTCTAGGTGTAAGCTCTACATGTATCACAATCCCCAAGACAACTAGATGTTCTGATATTAACTATCCGTGGTTTACCAAACAAATGGCCGGATAGACTCATCATACAGAGCAGATTGTAAAAGAGTGGTGCCCCAGAAGTAAGGAGAACAAATGTTATACCAACACATCTCGTCGATTTTGCATTTCAGGGCATTTTCCCAACACCATAAAGCAGCAACTCTACTTCAACTTCCTGCTTTATTGGTCAAGTTGAGCATGCTATAATTATATGGATATATAAGTAGGAAAGTTATGTAGTTGCGTCAGTCACGAGACATATGAATGGACCAGGTACATCATAACCCATTCCTCAAGAACTGGACATACCACAAAAAATAACTCGTGCAAGGAAATATGGACAGCAATGATGATGAAGGTTAGATAAATAAAATGCACCACGATGCTTAGGTCCAAAAAGAAGATTATTATGTTCATAATGGTTTACTCGTTTATTGCGTTAAAACATCTATTTCTGTTTCTTCTTTAGGGAAAGGAGGAAGAACAACAGGCACTAAAAACAAATTTTTCCTCTCAGAAACACCCAGTCTCATGATACTTCAAGTGGTATCAACAGACTATCAAAGTCACACCACCAAACAAATAAAAAAATTCAGCGTCAGTGAAGCTGGAGTACACCCTTTTTCTTGAAGAAATCATCCGATTTCCCAGTAGTCCCCCCAACTGCATCTAACTCGTCCACTCCTTCAAACTGCTGAGAGACAAGCAGTTTTAATGAAGTTCGAAGAAATTAGGATGCCTCGTTGATTTGCATAGGCAATTGGATAAGTCTTAAGAGTCTTAACTTAACTTTCATTCCATCCGTACCAAATGTTTTGCCATGACTCCTATTTCCCATACTGCTGGCACTGAAATGTTCAAACCGGCCGACCCTTCATACTCGAATTTTCCACATTCACCTCTCCTAATGAACAATCAAGCCAAGTGACAATTTGGCACCGTACACAAAAACCATCTGAAAATTCATAGTCTTTGTCTTCCTATTCATGCCGCATTGCCATAAAACACTCAAAGCCACTCACTGAAAACCCAAACTCAGTGAGTTTTTAATCCATTGAACTGCCGAAAGAACTCGGTAAGTGCCCACTCCACTGAATTGCAGAAAGACAAGCCGTCTAAATAAACTGTCGAAGAAACTACGAGTCATCATCGATTTGCAACACCACTGACGTCAATCCATGAGCTCAAAGTCACTACACACATTATTGCATTCAAACCAAGTTTTTTCAACGAATTCCATCCAAACTATCAGTCATCAATCGATCCGCAACATCATCGATTAATACTGAATTCGATTCCATCCAAACCAAATCTTTTCCCCATTATTCCTAGTCCCATAATGCTGTCATTGAAATGTTCAAACAACCAACCCTCCGTAGTCATACTTTACACATTCAGCTTCCCTGTTGAACAATCAACCCGAAGTGACCATTTGACACCGTACACTAAAACCATCTAAAAAATTCAGAGCCTCTGTCTTCCTAATCATGCCGCATTGCCACCAACCACTCAAATCCATTCATCAATTACCCAAACACAGACACAATTAATCTAAAACTCATCAGCCGTTACCCGCCGCCAAGGACCCCGAATAAAGAAGCGAACTTTTTTTCAGAACCTCATCAACTGTGACTCAAGCAAGACCGCCCCCCAAAGTCAACGACTCAAGTGGGGATTGCATTCCTTGGAGTAGAAATCGTTCTTTTCCAACGAAGCCCTCATCATCTCCTGACTGAATGCGGGATCATTGGGGTCGCTTGAGCGGGACGCCACCGGCGCTTCCAGCGCCCTGGGCCTGCCGACACAGAAGGCGCGGCCAAGACAGCCGCCGCCGCCGACGACCCTCTTCTTCCCCGAGGATCCGGAGTCCATCCCAGCAGCGACGGGGCCGCCGCAAGAGTCGCACACCCCGCCGTCGTTCTTGGCGCGGGACCGCCTCCAGCGCGCGGAGGAGAGGAGGCTGGAGAACGACGGGACCTTTCCGGACACCGTGAAGTTGCGGCCATTGCCGCCGTCGCTCCTCCTCCGATCGCCGGCGCCGGCGTCGGAAGCGGACATCGAACGAGCAGGGACCACCTTCGGGCGATCAAGAACGACGTGCTCATCGTTCGAGCGTCGATGTCGAAGCTTGCATCTTCTTCGGACAGAGACGGAGAGAGACAGGGAGGAAGCGTAGGTTCCCCCCCGAAAAATGTAACGCTTTTTTCGTCTGACTTTGCCGACCCAAAAATAAAAAAAAATTTAAAAAAAACGATTTGATCTGACTTTTGAGAAAAAAATAATTGCAAATGAGTAAAAAATGAGTTAAAATTTTTCAGATTATTGATTTGTTAATTTAGGTTAAAGGTGGTAAGACGGATAAATTTGAGTTTGATTAGTTTAATTCCGGTTTTGGGTAGATAAATCAGTGTCGAACCTTTTTTTAATGGTTCTTTTATATTATTTATGTATATAAGATAAGCACTCTCAAAATGAAAATAGTTCGTATATAGTCTGTTCAGGCTTGACCCTAATTAGATTTGTGATTAATATATATCGGCATCATATGCGAGAGTTAGGCGCACACCAAATTATGATAAAGAAAAGTAAAAAGCATTTTATGTTTGTGTCTTGAGACATTAATTTCTTTATTGGTTTTGTTTTGATAAACAAAAAAGTACTCACGCGATGTAAACCTGTTAGGACATTTCAAATATATACCAATTCTTAGTTTTGTGATGTTGAAATTGGATAATAATAATAATATAGGATATTTGGTGAATGAGGATGGACATTTGAAATTTGATTTTAATAATGGAATTAGGTAGATTTTGGTGAGAAAATTAGAGCGGACGGTGTGCCTGGCAAACGTAAGTGCCAAAAGGATGGCCTTTCAAAAATGGACACCGAATTTTAAAAATCAGCTATATATATAACGGGGAAAATGAAATAAATGGTCCATTAATTTTGACCTAATGTGTAACGTGGTCCATAAATTTTTAATTTGTTCAATGTAATCCCTGAACTTTTAACTCAGTATGCATTGTGGTTCATGAACTTTTAATTTATTCGATGTGGTCCATGAACTTTCGGCACATGTTTAAACTAGTCTCTGAAATACATAAAAATGCTAAATGTTGTCATTGAACTTAAATTAATGGAAAGACAATATTGAATATTTTCATATAATTTAAGAACTAGTTTGAACATGTACCGAAATTTCATAAACTATATTAAACAAATTAAAAGTTTAGTGACGATATTACATATTGGGTTAAAATAAAGAGACCGCATTGAACAAATAAAAATTTCACGAACCACATTGTACATTGGGCCAAAATTCAATGACCATTGTGTCATTATCCTTATATAATGTTGATTAATTAGGGCCAAATACAACCTTTTGGGAGTTGACACCGAATTTCAAAGTTGGCTTTATATATTATATAGAAAGTGAATTTTAGAAATAAGAAAGTGAGTTAAATCCCCCATTTTTTTTGTTATATTTTGTTTTCAGGTCGGGTTAGCCCACGATGCGCCGACCCGGTTCGGGTAACCCATTTATGCTCGAGGCCCACCGAGCCGATCAGGCTGACAGCCATGAATGCTTGATTTTGGAGTGTATGCCTTTATTATCTTGATCTCATTTTGATTTGAAAACCTCCTAAATTGATATAAAAATAATTAGTATGGTACAAAAGTGACCTAGATCTGGAGGAACTTATACTCCTGATAATATTTAATTGGAGTTAACAAGTCTCTATTTTTTCTTTTCTCGTAATTTTTCATTAGTTCAAGATAATCCTTTCATTTTTTTTTACCAGGAAAAATGATACAAAAATCCATAAAAAATGACTTAATAGAATGACATGAAAAATATTGATTCACGGAAATTTCTGCTAATTTTTTATAATTTTAATAGAAGATACAAAATTTGGTCCTCCGCCGGCCTATATAACTTCACAAATTATTGATTCCTCCATGTTTCCTGAGTGACTCGAGTCAAGTTATATGTAGGGATAATGACACAAATAGTCCATGGACTTTAGCCTAATATGCTATATGGTTCCTAAACTTTTAATTTATTCAATGTGATCATTGAACTTTAGCTCAATGTGCAAAGTGATATCCGAACTTTTAATTTGTTCAATATAACATTGATATTTTCATATAATTCAAGGACTAGTTTGAACATGTATCAAAAATTCATGATTCAAATTAAATAAATTAAAAGTTCATGAATCACATTTCACATAAGGTCGAAGTTCATGGACTATTTGTATCATTTTCCCTTATATTTAATTCAAACTTTGATCAGAGCCTCGACAATTGTTTTTATTATTATTATTTTAATTAGGTTGCATCATTCTTAGATCTTGAAGTTGATTGCCATAGCTGGAGTTCGGATCCACGTTAACAAATAAGCAATCAAAGTCAGGTTTTCAGCATGCTAAGCATGCCCTAATATCAAAAGAGGATTTCACGGATCATCCCGTTATTTTTTTATAATATAGTTTGCGAATGCTTCCTAATGGAACAAAGAGTCACGAAAATCAAAGCATTAAATGTCGTCTTCTATTCTGCTTGCTTAAATCGAGCAGCACAGTGGTTGACTTTAAGGCTGCGAATGGTAACTATTTTGTTTCTCTATTTCTATTCCAGAAATAGGCTTGGAACAGAAATCTGTTTGGTAACGAAATTCCAATTTCTATTTCTGGAACAAATTTTTGTTCTAGAAATAGGTTTGGAATAGAAATCAGAAGTTAAAATTTTTTGCTTCTCTATTTTTGGAACAGAAATGAGAAACAAAACTTTTTTATTCTTCTCATCACTTGCCCTCACTACTAGCAGGTCGCTCACCCGCCGCCCATCGCCGGCCACCGCCACCCACCGACCGCCGCTACCCGCCGCCGCCGCCTACCCTCCTCCCCTACCGGCGGCCTACGGCCGCCACCCACCACCAACCACTGTCTCTCGTCGCCACCCGCCTCCTACCCCCGGCCTCCCTGCTCCCGCCACCGCCGCCCGCCTTTGGCTGCCTCCCACCGCCGCCCGCTGTGGGCCGCCGGCCATCGTAGGCCGGCCACTATCTCCCGCCGCCACCCGCCTCCCACCCCCGGCCTTTCTCCTCCCGCCACCGCCGCCCATCTCCCACCGCCAGCCGCCGTCCACCGGCCACCATCTCCCACCACTGGCCGCCCTCCTCCCACCGCCACTTGCCTCCCACCGCCGCCCGCCGTCCACCGGCCACGATCTCTCGCCGACTGCCATGGGCCGCCGTCCATCGGCCACCGTCTCCTGCTGCCGATCGCCCTCTTTTGGCCGCCAACCACCTCCCACCGCTGGCCACCGTTGGCCGTCGCCCGCCGTCCATCGACCACCATCTCCCACCGTCGGCCACCGTCCTCCCGCCGCCGGCCATCGTCTCCCGCCGCCACCCACCCTCCTCCCGCCACCATCCACCGCCCGCCGACCACCCGAAAACAAGAAATTTTATGCCGTTATCAAACAAATTTCTATTTCTGGAACAGAAATTTTGTGTCGTTATCAAACGTGTTTTTTTGCTAAGAAACTCCTCCAGGAACAGAAATAGAAAAATCAATTTCTGGCCAGAAATTGATTTCTGAAACAGAATGGTTACCATTCGCAGCCTAAGTGTGCAGGAATACCTTCCTAGTTTCTGTAGCTTTTTTTTGGTAAGGTGGTTTCTGTAGCTTTTATTTTTATTTTTTTCGTTTTTTTTTTTGCAATACCGCTTGAATGGGTTAAGGAAAAATGACATAGATGGTCTCTAAATTTTGATCAATGTCATCACTGAACTTTTAGACGTTTTCATATAGTTTAGGGGTTACGTTAAATATTTATCAATAGTTCGGGAATTACATTGAACAAATCAAAAGTTCATGGACGATATTACACATTGGACCAAAATTCATAAACTATATCGTACAAATTAAAAGTTCAATGACAACATTATACACTAACATAAAGTTTTAGGGACCATTTGTGCTATGATCCTATAGGTGATCATATTATTATTACTATCATCCATAAAACCGAGCAACTACAGTCGATTATTTGCCCTTTTTTGAGAAAATGAACCCACTTCATGTCCTTATTTGGGATTCTCCCATAAAACTGAGTTAAAATTTTTCAGATTATTTATTTTATTGATTTAGGTTAAAGATGGTAATACGGATAAATCTGAATTTAATTAATTTAATTCCGATTGGCGTAGATAAATCCACATTGAACCTTTTTTTTCAACGGCTCTTTATATTTATGTATTCTAAGCGAAAATAATCCATATATAATTTGTTCAGGCTTGAACCTATTAAATTCGTGGTCAATATATATGATAAAAGAAAAAGAAAAACGAAAAAGGATTTTATGCTTAAGTTCGGAGACCTTAATTTCTTTAGAGCTTTTGTTTTAATAAGAAAAAAGTACTCGCACATTGTAAACCAATTACTAAATTAACTATGGTGGAATGGGAGTGAATATCGAGTCTGAAAGCTGGCTCTATATATTTGTGTGTATCATAAAAGTGATGCAAGAACAATTTTAGAAATACAAAATTGAGATAAATGACACATTTCTCTTTGTTATTGATAATATGTAGTTACATTTATTTGTATATATATGTTTTCGGGTCCGGTCAGGCGGGCCAAGTTGGTTCGGGCCATCCATTTATGCTCGATGCCTAGCGATCCGAGCAAGTCTTGCGCCATACTGGGTTTTAGGTTTGAAGTGTATGCCTGTATTATCTTAATCTGATTTTTGATTTGAAAACTTCCTAAGCTGATTAAAAAAATAAAAAGAAAACTTCGTGACCATAGTTAATTCAAGGTAATTCAAGTTTAACTGTTTGTTTTTTATTGGATCACATTTTTTTCACTCCCTCTTTAACTAATATACTCATCATGACAATGTTTTGACCATATTATCCCTCGTGGGACTCATTTTTTAACATATTATCATTCAAGTTAAATGTGGGGCCCATTTTGTCCTTATTCTTTCTCTTGCTTGTTTGTCATTCTCTTCTTCTTTTTTGGATCATGGTTTTTCCACTTCCTTTTTAGCTAATGCACTCCGCATCACAATGTTTTGACCATATTATCTTTCACGGGACCCATTTTTTAGCATATTATAATTCAAGTTAAATGTGGGGCCCATTTTGACCTTATTCTCTCTTTTGCTCGTTGGTCATCCTCTTCTTCCTT